CATACATACATGCATACATACATACATATATACAAACATACATACATACATATATATAATATATATACATATATATATAGAATATATATATATATATTCTATCCAGCTCTTTTCTGTTCACACGATTTCAACATGCTCACGAGCTTCCCTACACACATTTATATACATTCATATATGTGCACATAAAATTGCTAGAACCAAGTGCCAATAAAATTTCAGTGGCTACCTTAGAGAAGACGGCTTGTGCATTCCTGGACATGTTGGCAACAATCGCGTGGACCCTCTGGCGCTTTTCTCGCTCTTCTACTTCCTTGATTTTTCGATACTGGTTGTATTGTTCCTACATAATGTTTGTTAAACTGATATTTCTTCTGTTTTTCGTATAAATCCCGCTCCTTTGCCGCCTCCTCCAAGATGTTAGTCACTTTCGACTCCGAAACTCCAGGCATTTTAGCTCGACACGTGCAAGCTTTGCCGACACATGCAAGCTATTGAATTAATTTACAGTAGATTTAAACAGTAGCTTCCCAATTTATTGCTTCTTTTCTTAGCTAAAGCTTCAAAACAGTTTGAGCTAGCGGTGCTCGCCATTATTTATTGTTATCAGTTTTTATTTTACAAAAGCAGCTTCCAGATACCTGATTCTCAATATCTAAATGTGCAACCAACTGATCTAGCTTGGTTTGCTTCTGTTGAAAACTTTCATCTGGATTCGAAACAATTTCTCGAAACTGCAAATAAGATACAAACATAAATAGACGGCTAGCTTAGTTGTTTTAATTGTTATAATTGCGCTGACAAAACCTGAATCCAGCACTCATCGCTTTCCTTCCTGACGCTTCATCACTCGAATGTTTAAGACCTAAGTGCATAAATCCAAGTTTTTACGAGCAAAAAGTAGTACTTTTATCTCTTTTACTCCAGGTACTGGTACTAAATATGGAAAAAATAGGTGTGTCTATTGGTTTTATTTGAAGACCTCGACTGTTAAGGCTTCAAAATAATTTTTAATAAAATGTGACTTTATGCTTTTTGTCAAACGGATTTTCGCTTTGTGAATCGAACTGGCCTTCAGTCTGTTAGTTCATAATAAAGATAAACATCAAGACTTCTAATAAGTAAGCAGCAATTTAGCTAATGGAGAGAAGTGATCCTTCACAGTTGCAGGATTGTTGCAAGATTTATTTTCATTATTTTCTGACCTTATTCGACCGCAGCTCGGTAAAAATCCACCAAAATTAAACGCACCTTTTTTTGCACTTCCCTAGGAGTTCCTTGTAAAAACTCGGGCAAAAACGGGTTCACATCCACCACCGAAGCACTTGGTTGCGTCAGTACTGTATCGTTAATAGCGTCGGCATCTTTTTTGAGTTCCGCTACATAGCCTATGTATTCACGTTGATTGGTGAATACTGGAAGCGCATTTGCTGAGAAAGATTGAAAAGGATGACTCCGGACACGTGATGTTGTCGTACCGAAAATTCCTACGGGAAATAGTGGTTGAGAAGGCATGCCGTAGGCTACCGAATACAGATTGGGATTGAATTCTTGCGCCTAAAATACCACATGCAAAGTTGCTGCAGTAAAACAGGTATGGAGGCGGGATTT